CTTAGGGGCTGGCATCTATGCCATCCTCCTTGTCCCACCTACCTGTATAGTCTGTCCAGGACTCTATTCTATTGGCTATGTATAATGACGTGCCTACCTAGAAGGAGTGGGCGATATTGAAATCTAAACCTTTAACTCAAGGAAGGCATCTGTTCAAGGTGTGAAGTTGGCAACCATAAGAACATAAGAACATAAGAGATGCCAATGTTGGATCAGGCCAAAGGCCCATCCAGTCCAACACTCTGTGTCACACAGTGGCCAGAAATACCAGTGCCATCAGGAGGTCCAGCAGTGGGGCCAGGACATTAGAAGCCCTCCCACTGTTGACCCCCCCCCCCAAGCACCAAGAAGACAGAGCATCACTTGCCCCAGAGCCCCTATCTATACCTTGTGGCTAATAGCCACTGATGGACCTCTGCTCCATATGCTTATCTAATTCCCTTTTGAAGCCGTCCATGCTTGTAGCACCCCCCACTTCCTGTGGCAGTGAATTCCATGTGTTAATCGCTCTTTGGGTGAAGAAGTACTTCCTTTTATCCGTTCTAACCCGACCGCTCTGCAGTTTCATGGAGTGCCCACGAGTTCTTGTATTGTGAGAAAGGGAGAAAAGTACCTCTTTCTTTACCTGCTCTTTCCCATGCATAATCTTATAAACCTCGATCATGCCAGGGCAACCATTGAAGTGCAGATGAATCTAGCTCGGTCCCAGGCAATAAAATGGTCATTTGGCAGGAAACTGTCCCTTCAGATGCAAACCAGATATCAGGGTTACGTGTGTTCCCACAGTTCATCAATGGTGGTTGCAAACATACAAGTTGTTGTTTTGTGCTGATTACAATGGCGACACAGCCTTCTTCCTCAGGCTGAGCTGTGTGAGTGCAAGCTCTATTTGCATAAAACGCAGGCAAGGTACCTTCCAGATGGTGCAGTCACAGCATACAATGCAAACAGCTTTCTCCAAACCCATAGGGATCCATAGGCACAGTCCATGTGTGTGTGCATGTTGTCAGCAAACACAAATACATAAAAGCAAATAAGTTCATCTCCCAACACTGTAATGGCTTAATTGGGGAACTGGGCTGCCATCTAGCCTTTCAGTTTATCACCACCTATGCTTAATGTATGCTGTTTTCTATTTGGAGAGATATACGAAATATTAACATGGGAAAAATCTCTTAAGGGGGAGCTTTGTGTAGGATTTTTTAAAACTTGAGAATGCTCTGCTGAGTACAAATATATGCATTGCCTGTCAGATAGGAGGGGTACATGGTATGTTTGTGGTTGCATTCAGCAACCCATACTTGACTGCCAGTGTCTGCATTTAACAAATGGGTGTCTATAGGAGAGTACGAACCAAAGCACAAATTTGTGAGACAAGACCTTCATACACAGCTTGTCTCAGAATCAGTCACTAGGGGGCAATATAGTCATACTAATGCAGATTTCAAGCTGTCTAACCATGTAAAAGCCTCTCTTGCTGTCTTTTCTCTCTAGACTTACCGAGCAGAATTTATTGCTGAATGGAGGAAACTAAAACTCGATGTCATCCTCTGCCCTGCTTTGGGCCCAGCTTTTAATGAGGGCTACCCTGGGAAATTATTTGGTATTATCTGTGTCTCAGTAACATGTGTATCTCCCTTAAATACAAAAGCCGAATGGTGGTGGCACTTCTCTAGAACATTCCACATGCTCCGGAATTGGTTGGCGCCCTGGTGTGTCACTTAGAATCTGGCCCCATCCACTGGCTGCATTGCCTGAGTCTCACCTCCAACATTCTAAACAGTTTGCTGTTCCTCTCCCCACCATAGCCAGTCAGAACACAGAGGTTATTTGCATATGCAGCCTCATTGGCCTTTGCCTCGGAACACAGAGGTCGTTTGCATATGCGACTTGATTGGCTTTTGCCTCTAACATTCTAAACAGTTTGCTGTCCTGAGGTAAAATGTGTCCAATCTCCAGGTGAGGGCTGGAGATCCCTCAGAATTACAACTGCTTTCCAGATGGCAGAGATCAGTTCCCCTGGAGAAAATGGTGGGCTCTGTATCCTTATATGCTGCTGAGGTGGCCCCCGTATGACAGCCAATATGACATAGCAGGGCTTCAGAGCACGGGAGAGGCTGCAGGTGTGTGGGGGGTGGAAAGCTGAAGAGTGAGGGGAAAATAAAGGTAGGTTGATGATTGGCTGGGAAGGAGATAGGGTTGCCAACTCTAGGTGGGAAATATGTGAGGGATGGAGCCTGGAGAGGGTGAGGTTTCAGGAGGCATGGGACCTCGGACAGGTACAAAGCCATAGACTCCACCCTCCAAACCAACCATTCCCTTCTGGGGAACCATCGTTGCCAATCTCCAGGTGAGGGCTGGAGATCACTCAAAATTACAACTGTTCTTTAGGTAGCAGAGATCAGTTCCTCTGGAGAAAATGGTGGACTTAGTGTCATTATACCCTGCTGAGGTCGCCACAGCAAATTGACACTGAGTGTCAAGGCTGGGGCACCTGCCCAGAACCTCTTTCTAGAGCTCGTTGTATTTATTTCCAAAACGAGCCTTTTTCCTAGTCTTGTATATATGAGTCCTACATATATAAATCTGAACTTAGCCTCTATGTAGATCAACAGACCCAGAGAATGGGGCTAGGTTCAGATTGGGGGTATTCATCTGCAGAGCTGGGTGGTTAAATCCCCCCATAGAGGGGTACATAGTCTGCATTTGCACAGTCAATGTACAAGAGCATCCCCATGGCCTGGAAGTGGGCAGGTAAGAGAGCCAGAGCCACTGCCATTGCCATCTGGGGAAGTGTGTGTGTGGGGAGAAGGGTGGGACCAGAGGATTCACCACAGCATCAGCTGGGTAGACAGAGGAGGAAGAGCAGGACCAGTTTGGTGTAGTGGTTAGTAGCATGGACTCTAATCTGTGAGAACTGGGTTTGATTCCCCACTTCTCCACATGCAGCTGCTGGTGTGACCTTGGGTCAGTCATGTGTTCTTTCAGAGCTGTTCTCTCACAAGCAGTTCTTGAAAGAGCTCTCTCAGGCACACCTACCTGAGAGTGTTTGTTGTGGGGAGGGGAAGGGAAAGGGGATTGTAAGCCACTTTGAGACTCCTTTGGGTAGTGAAGGTTGGGGTATAAATCCAATCCCTTTTCCCTTCTTCTTCTATTGCTGCACTTGGTAGATGAACCACTAGCCAAGCAAAGAGGAAGAAGAGGCCCTGCCATTGGCACTGCAAGTGGATGGGAAGGAGCAGGAGTTGGAAGGAGCATAAGCTAGGCAGGCAACGATGCTACTGTGGCCAGGCAGGCAGACCAACAAGTGGTTGGTGGAGGAAGGAAGGGATTGCCCCCTTTGAGTGTCCTGATTCTCTGCTTGTCTGTATGTGTGTGTGTGTGTATAGGCATGTGTAAAAAATCTGCCACCTACTAGAAGCAAGTTGTTTTTCTTTTTAGGTAAAGGTAAAGGTTCCCTTGCTCGAAAGCCAGTCGAATCCGACTCTAGGGTTGCGGTGCTCATCTCCGTTTCAAAGCCGAAGAGCCAGCGCTGTCCGAAGACGTTTCCGTGGTCATGTGGCCGGCATGACTAAACACCGAGGCGCACGGAACGCTGTTACCTTCCCACCGAAGTGGTCCCTATTTATCTACTTGCAATTTCTTGCTTTCGAACTGCTAGGTTGGCAGGAGCTGGAACTAGAGACAGGAGCTCACCCTGTCTTGCGGCACCCGGGTCTTGAACCGCTGAACTACTGACCTTCCACAGCCTGCAGTTCAGCGTCTTAACCACTTGAGCCACCGCTGTAATTTACTCCACTGTAATTGGCTTGCAGGGGGCTAAAGGCCTGGCTGAAGGCTGAGAGTCCAAAATATGTAGGAGACAATTGTTTGATATGACAGTTTTAAATAAGAAAGTTAAATGGGAGCATTTTGCAAGTTGTTGAACAGTACAAGTATGTTACCCCTGGACAATGTGCAGAATGTACCTGGTTTTTTTCATGAGTTCTGCAATTCATTCCTTGATCATTTTCTCTTCTTTATTTCATTGTTTTATTCAGCTATGGCCATATACCAAGTTTAGCTCAGTGTTGTCTACTGTGACTACTAGGAGCTTTAACTGCAGATGCCATGGATGGAACCTGCAATCTTCTGTGGGCAAAGCCTGTGATCCACCACTGAGCCCTCTCTTAGTGCTATTCTACGTATGTTAATTAAGCAACCAGTAGTAGAATTGCCAAAAAAGCCTCCAAATAATGTGAATTAATGTGAATTATTTTTTTTCCCCAAATGGCTACAGATCAGGAGAAACTACATAATTTCCCCAAAGGTGGAACTTTCCCCCTGACCTCCTACAACTCAATGTTTCCACTGTATCAGTGGGGCTATAGTCCACTAGCCTTGCATTGTCATCCCTGTTGCTGATTCACTTTACTGGTTTTATTTTGGAAAGGATATGGCTCAGTGGTGGATCACATGCTTTGCATCTGGCATCTTTCATTAAAGGTAACTGAGAAAGGCCTTGCACTGCCTGAGACTGTAGAGAATTGCTGCCAATCGGAGTGGACCATTCTGAGCCAGGTGGACCAATGGTCAGACTTGGTATGAAGAAAGATAATCTGTTTGCATGAAATTGATAAAAATGTTCTGCATGTGGTTACCGTTAGAATTCATCTGAACTGTGACAAAGGTCTCTTCTGAAGCTGAATCGTACTCATAATGTTTAATAATTTCTCTGGACTTCAGCTGCTACGTCATACACCAATTTATACAATGTTCTGAACTTTCCTGCTGGGGTTGTGCCAGTTACTACTGTTACACCAGCTGATGATGAAGAACTCAAGTACTACAGAGGGCACTATGGAGATCCTTGGGATAAGAGATTCAAAAAGGTTGGTGTACAGTCCCAAAGGTGTCCATACGCTTTTGCCTGTTCTATTTGTATGTCCTTTGCAGTACACACTTTCTCTCTGTCTGCAGGCTGTTGAAGGTGCTGTTGGGCTCCCAGTGTCTGTCCAGTGTGTGGCTTTGTCTTGGCAAGAAGAGTTGTGCCTTCGGCTCATGAAGGAGGTGGAGACTGTTGTCCATGAGAAGAGAACAAAAATATGAGCTCTTGCATCAGAACACACCAACAGTGCACAGTTACAGAACAAAACAGCTTGGCTCTAGGAGGATTAGAGCAATCTCAGACGTCTCCATTTCTAAAACATATGCAGTTTAAGACAAAGTGATTAATTCAATATACTTGTATCCAGAAGGAACTATTTATGATAGAAGTCTAGTTCTCACAAAAGGATGAGATTTCCAAGTTTGTCTGAATATTACAAGTCCAGACTGCAGGTGAAAGCTCTCATGCTTGACATTTCCTTCTTACAAACAAATCTGCACAGATTTTCAAAAACAAAAATCTGCCCCCGTCGTGATGGGCCAAAATCATTATCCCAAAACAAAGCAAAATCCATGTAATACCTTTTATTAGGTCCAACCATAATCACAGACTGGGTTCCCCAGGCTGGATGTTACAAAGTAAAAAGAAGATGAGGGGAAGATGATGTTTCAAGTGAGGATTATTAAGGCCTGCTCTTGCTAGGATTCCTGTGCTGACAGCTCTATAGATACAGGAGTGTCATGGTGTCAGGTTGCACACCTGACACCCACTCTCTTGCCAGTTCCATTCTCTTCCTTTGAGCATCACCTTAAATTTATCTAGAGAATTGTTAATATAATTGCCGCCAATCAATTCCTTTGCTTTCTTGCTCACAGAAACCAGGGTACAACCTGGCACCAAAAGCACCACTCTATATTTACATGCCTGTCAACATTAAGCACAGGATTATGGCCTGAAACATCTTCTCTTCCTCTTTCCTTATTTTGTAACTTCCAGCCTACTAAAGCATTCTGGAGAACTCAAAAGCCTCTCACACTCTCATGTCATTTTAGTTGGTCCTAATAAAAGGTATTGCATGGCTCATAATTTGGAGAGGTTTTTTTGGTGGGACATGGCTAAGCTTCTCCCTGACATCTGTGTGAAGGAAATGTTTTGGATGGAGGAGCATTCAATCAGGTATGTCCCACCTGAAATGGAAGGAGCCTTGGCTGTGGGAGAGCTTCTGTTTTGTGTGAATCCGTTCCCATGATGCCATCTCTGGCATCTCTAATTTTAAAAAGGATAAGATAGTAGATGATGTGAAGGTCTCTGTTAGCAGCCCTGGAGAGCCACTGCCCATCAGGAGGATAGGCCTCTGGTTTGACTCTGTCTAAGGCAGCTTCATGTATGGCTTCAAAACATGAGTTTGTTACCTGATCTGATGTTTGTAAGAAATAGAGCCAAAATATTTGGAAGGCCTGAATGGGAGATGCTAAAACATGCCATGGGAACACCCACATGGTAAAAACTTTGATATGCTGAGCGCTAAAAAAACGTCATATAGATGTTGAGTTTTAATCATGGAATTTCACTGGATGACCACAGATAATAAGAGAATATTTTGAAGCAGTTGTTGTCTTGTTAATGTGAAGGCCAGTCTGCACTTTATTGTTGCATGGATACCAAACAGTGTTTGTATTCATACCCCTTTTAAGCAAAGATGCTGAACTAATTCTTCACCAGCTACTTTCCCCTCATCTGTCTGTCTGCTCCAAAAATCATTTAAATATTTTGTCAACTCTAAACACGCATCTTGAAACTCTCTAATCTTGTTGTAAAAGGCCTTTTATTTCCAACTGAGGGGACCTATTCAGCCTTTTATGATTTGGGGGAATTAAATTTGTTTTTAACTGTAAACCTTTAGCTCAGTTACATGAAGTTCTTGGGGTAGCAAATGTAAAGGCTTTAGGTTTGCTGCCATGAGATGTTTTTTGGTGAGTGAGAAGAACAGGGAGATCACGGAGCCAGGAGTTGTATGTAAATAACAAACATTTATTTATTTACAGGTTAATTTTAAAGAACAGATCAGCAACAAAGGTCTCTGAGTCTGGACAGTCAAAGAAGAAGCCTGGCTGAGGCTTATACATTTAAGCCAGTTATGGCTTCAGAGTGTGGTCTGAATTCTCTTCAATGCTTACAGCAGGGGTCCCCAACATGGTACCCATGGGTGCAATGGCAGCACTAACACCTTTATTGGCACCCGCCGAGCGATGGTGCCAGGTAGGGCTTTTGCCTGGCAAGGCTTCTGATTGACTATTGGTGATTGGACTGGCTATGCAGTTTTTAAAAGTGTTGCTTTGGCAGCAGCTGCAGCCACAGCACAATATTCTACTCTGTGTTACTATATTTAAACAGTGGCAATCATTTTATGGCTGGCTGTGCCCCCTGTGGCAGCCATTTTGCAGCAGCTATTTTTGTTGTTGTGCCCACCATGCCATGCCAGATTTTCAAATGTCCCCGCAGACTCAAAAGGGGGGGGGGGGTGCTTACAGGCACAAGCAGGGTTTCACTGACTAGTCACTAGACTGTCCCCTCTGAAACATTGAAGATTCCACCCATAAAGGATGCCCTTTCTCCAGACTAAATGGCACAAGGTCTTCTCATCACTAGAGACGGGCCTGACAATAAGGTACTTTACAGTCTTTAAGAGGTAGAGCTAAATCACTTTAGCCTCCTACCACTATTGCTTCTGCCTTCTTAGACCCTAAAAACCTCCCCAAACCTTCTCATTATCACCCACAGTGTAAGAAAAGCTTAGGTGGGTTTGTATCAGATTATTATTGAACATATTACTGAACACTGACCCATTTCCTCAAGGGAAACTGAAACTGTTGGGATCAGTCTCTGGAATTTTGAGCATGGCATCTCAATTACTAGGAATAGCTGAAACCCTGAGATGTTTATATTTCCATCCTAACAGAGGGACTCAAAATGATTTCTCCAAATCATTAAGCAACTCCAATGTCACGTAAGCTAAGAAGTGGCAAATGACCCAGGCATAGTATAACGACTGCTCTACACATGTAACTGAATGCACTGATAGAATTTGCCATATCAGTTTAAGTGTATGTGATGGATAGGTTAGGTTCTGCCTCTCCCTCAGAGTGACCAATGGGAACTGATGGAATGCGGAGGCTGAGGGAAGAAGCCATAAGCTAGTTCTAGTGTGTAGCAGAAGGGCAGCCTGATGCTGACTGGGAGAATGTTAGCTTGTAACAAAGAATCCCAAATGCCTGAACAGAGCTATGGTTGAAAAGTTCAAATATGGAGAAACTTTGTAATTGTCTACCTGTTTCACTCCAATGTTTTCTTTAAGCAATAAATAAAAGTTCACCTCTATGGACTGGATGTGTATGGTATCAGGGAAAGAAATATGCACACATATGAAAATATATCTTTCTCTGTCTCTCTCTCGACCAGCATGGTGTAGTGGACTCTAATCAGGAGATCCAGGTTTGGTTCTCCACATGAAGCCTGCTGGGTGACCTTGGGCCAGTCACACTTCTCTGAGAACTCTTTCAGCCCCACCTACCTCACAAGGTGCCTGCTGTGGAGAGAGGAAGGGAATGTGATTGTAAGTCATCTCCTCCTCCTCCTCCTCCCTCCCTCCCTCCCTCCCTCTCTCTCTCTCTCTCTCTCTCTCATCTATATCCCTTAACACACACATGTGAATATATGAATAAAAGATGGCAGTATGTGCATGAAGCACCATTTGAGTCCAAACCCCAAAAGCTCTATAAAATATCTGAGTGAGGGGGTGATTGTTAAAGGGAACTGGCCTATCCTGACTGGTGGTATGTCTGTGCAGGACAGAGAGGACCTGGTGTATGAAAGGGTTAGGACTCTCTCTATATTTTGTAAGAAACAAGACAGGTGGTGAACTGTAATTGCTTGGTGTGGTGGGAATGCAGCTGCAACACGTGTCAGTGTGAACTAACCCTGTGCGATGAGGCTGAAGTTGGTTCCTTATTCCCAGTTCCTTATTAATTCCTTATTCGGGTCTTATTCATGAATTCATCCATAAACAGTGAGGAGAGTTTGAAAGCTCTGAACCCCAAAATAAGATTTGGACCCCCAAACTTCATACACACCCATGTTTAGCGAACTCCCCCTTCGAGGGGACATATGCTGTGTCCTGGTCCAAAGTGTGGTTCTTGCGCCAGCTACTCCAAAGTGAGGCGCCCCCAGGACAATCACACAGGCAGATACTGGGGCCAAGCTGTACCCCAAAACAATCTTTGGACCACCCCGAAGGACTCATCCCCATGCTCTGGAGACTGTCCCCTGCAAGATGACATACAGTGATGCTCGGTCCAAACACTGGTTCTGGAACCACAGGCTTCCATTTCAGGTGCACGCAAGAACCCCGTATTTCAAAAAAAGATTTGAATAAGGAACTGGTTTGACTGTTTGCCCACTACAACCCAGAATAAGGTTTGGACTGCCACATCTCATACATTTCCATGTTTAGTGAACTCTCCCCTTCGAGGAGACATATGCTGTGTCCTGGTCCAAAGCGTGGTTCTTGTGCCAGTTGCTCCAAAGTGAGGTGCCCCCAGGGAAGTCACACAGGCAGATAATGGGGCCTGGCTGCACCCCAAAACAATCTTTGGACCACCCCAACTGAAACATCCCCACACTCTGAAGACTGTCACCTGCAAGATGATATACAGTGAAGCCCGGTCCAAACACTGGTTCTGGTGCTACGAGCTTCTATTCAGAGTGCCTCCAAAGGCCTGTATTTCAAAGAAGATTTGAATAAGGAAGTGCCCCCTGCACCCAAAATGAGATTTAGACCTACACACTTCATACACCCACATGTTCACTGGACTCTCCCCTTCAAGGGAACATATGCCGTGTACTGGTCCAAAGCGCGGCTCTTGTGCCAACCGCTCCAAAGTTGCGGTGCCCCAGGAAAATCACCACAGGCAGACACTGGGGCCAAGCTGCACCCCAAAACAATCTTTGGACCACCCCAACTGATACATCTCCACGCTCTGGAGACTGTCCCCTGCAAGATGACATACAGTGATGCCCGATCCAAACACTGGTTCCGGTGTCATGACCTTTTCCAGTACAAAAACAGCCCCCCAATCTCAAAATACTCATCACCTTCAATAATACAGCATCTAATTTAAACATGTAGACTGGTATCAGAACTTGCAACACACCCTGATGCCAA